ATAAGTCTTATAAAAGAAAGCATTTATTTGGGACTTGTTTACAGTTTAGAGGGTTAGTCCATTATCATCATGGGAGAAGCATGGTAGCATGCAGGCATATCTGATGTTAGAGAAGCAGCGGGGGTAGGGAGGGGAGACAGAGAGAGGGAGAGACAGACAGAGACAGAGAGAGTGTGCGCCTTTGAACCTGGTTTGGGCTTCTGAAACATCATAGCCCACCACCAAAGATATACTTCTTCTAACAAGGCCACACCTTCTGATCCTTTCATAATTCTTTCAAATAGTGCCACTCCCTGGTGACTAAGCATTTAAATCTATCAACATATGGGGGTAATTCTTATTTAAACCTCCATCTGCTTGGAGCTCAAAACAATGTTGCTAGTTTTAGAGTTTAAATTTAATAATGGAGTTACAATAAAAAAGCAGCTTTTTTTTTTGCAAAGACTAACAAGAAAAACAAAAATTATGTTATAGAATGCTTTGTATTGTAGTGTGAAATACTTTGGATAGATTTGACATCAAGATGGAGAAGTGACTTGAGACTGCATTCAGCTCTCATAGCACATATATGTTATCTGATGCTCAACATATCCATGAGGTTTGTGTATGCAGGCAGGGTCTCTCTGTGAACCCAGGGCTCACTGATTCTTACTATTCTTGATAGCCTGTGGTCCTCAGAGTTCCCTTCTCTCTGTTTCTGAAATGCTAGGATCTCAGATGGATGTCATACTCATCCTGTTTGACATGGATTATGGGGATCTGAACTCTATACCTGTATGTTTGCAGAGCAAGTGCTTTAGCCCCTAAACCTTCTCCCCAGCTCTAAACTTCTCTATGGCTAAGTCAAGTTCTTTAGGGTGTTTCTCCTGTGTAGAGTCTGTTCTTATTTAGGGGTTAGAACAAAGAGGGAACTGGGAAAAACATACACACAAAACCTATAATTAAGATTGTCATGTAGGATATATCATGACAATTATTGCGATGATGACTATGGTCCAGGAGCTGATACAATCACTTTAAAGAGTTACCTCAATATGGTGATACACACCTTTATTAATCCCTGCACACCCAGGAGGCAGAGGTTCCAAGCCAGCCAGGGATACAGAGTGAGAATGAGAGAAAGAAGAACATGAACTCACTAGACAAGAATATTTTTTTAAAGCTCATCAGAATGCCTGGTTGTCTTAGAGAGCAAAGCATGGTGAATGCCTAGCAGGTACTGATCACCATTGCTTATTAATTAGGTACTAGTTATTAATCACCATCATTTTACTAGTGTAGAAACTCATGGTGAAGTTGAGTAACTTGCTCACAGTCACATGGCTGGAAAGCAGTGGCATCCTTTGGAGTTGGAGGTGAGATACTGGTTAGTGTAGATGGATTGTGAGTCAAATGTTAACTGTGCTTGTAATATGATGATGTACCATATATGAAAGCTACCATGAAGAGACAAAAGAGAAACACCATGTTGCCTGGTGATTGGAAATAAAGAAATCACTAATCTCAAGCTGGTTGGTTGCAAAAGTGGTAAATGGTTCAGGGCAACCTAAGGAATAAAACACTGTTTGGTAGAGAAGGACAAGTTCCATTTTAGCCATATTGTGATTTGATGTCACATAGTCAAGTGAGGTAACTATTAGGGAATTCAGAGCAAAGGAAGGTGGTTAGGAGTTATGCAGATACAAATGATTGGTGGAGTCTCCAGTGATAAAGTGTGCTTCCCCCCTACATAAAACTGGAGAGTTAAGAATAAAGTCATTCTAAAATCTCTGCATAAAATTACTACATCATTTCCCACATGTGCTTTAAAAGATATCTAGTAGCAAATCTAGGAACCCATTTTATATTTTTGTGTCTGTGTTAATTGTATATGCATATACTCATGCTTGTGGCATATGTATGTGTGTGTGGGTGTGTTGTGTTGTGTATGGAGACCAGAGATGGACACTGGCAATCTTCCTCAATTGCTCTTCACCACTTTTTGTTTTGAAACTGGGTTTCCCTGTATAGCCCTGGCTGGCCTGAACTCACTATGTATATCAGCTTTCAATAAAGAGGGATCAGGAAGATCGAATTTGGGAAGAACAGAGAAGGAGAGCCAGAAAAGATATACTTAATAGAGGGAACCATTATAGGTTTAATGAGAAACCTGGCACTAGGGAAATGTCCAGGGATTCACAAGGATGACCCCAACTAAGAATCTAAGCAATAGTGGAGATGCTACCTTAAATGCCCTTCTCCTATAATGAGATTGATGACTACCTTAAATGCCATCATAGAGCCTTCATCCAGTAGCTGATGGAAGCAGAAGCAGAGATTCACAGTCAGGTACTGAGCCAAACCCCTGGAATCCAGTTGTAGAGAGGGAGGAGTGATGAGCAAAGGGGTCAAGCCCATGCTGGGGAAAATCACAGAAACAGCTGACCTGAGCCAGGAGAAGTTCACAGACTCCATTCCATCAGCTGGGGAACCAGCAGAAGACCCAACCAGCCCCCCTGAATGTGCTGTCAGTTTGGGGGCCTGGGCAACCAATGGGATCTCTGGCAGTGGAACCAGTATTTATCCCTAGTGCACTAATGGACTTCGGGTACCCATTCCCTATGGAGGGATACTCTCTCAGCCTAAATACACTGGGCAGTGGGGTGAGGGTAGGGGGACTAGGCCCTGCCCCAAATGATGTGTCAGACTTTGATGATCCCTCATGGGAGGCCTCACTTTCCCTGGGGAGTGGATGGGGTGGTTGGTGGGGGGGTGCATGGGAGGATAGGAGGGAGAAGGAATTGGGATTGATATGTAAAATAAGATTGTTTTTAATTTAAATATAAATTCCTTCGGCTGTTGCCCTGTTGCCTTTCAAATGCTGGTATTAAAGTTGTGTGCCACTGCATCTGACCTTTTTTGTTTTGGTTTTTTTTGTTTGTTTGTTTAAGTTTTTAAAATTGTGTCAGGGGCCCTGCAAGCCCTAAAGCTTCAGGGAAACAGTTGGCATGAAGTGAAAAATGAAACTTGGGACTGCACTTGGGTCTGACCTTGTGTTTTAATTTTCTTACCTGTTTAATCACAGTAAGACTGTGGAAAATGTCTCCTTGTGACAGTTATAACAACAAAGCTCCAGGGATGGCTACATCTAAACTCCCTTGCAAAGCACACCTCTATAGCAAAGCACCTGTGACCTTCACCTTAAGATTGAGTTCTTTTGGCTGGTAAATAGTGCTCAGGGCAAGGGCTAAGGTGGAAGGATTTGTAATAAGCAGAAGGCTATATTCTATTGATGAAGAATACAAAATACATGGGATCTCCTTCATAAGGATGAGTTCTATTCTCTGAGAAACAAAGCTCAGGATTGGGGCCGAAACAATATTCAAGATTTGGGGGTATTCAGGTGAGTGGTGGCTCCATAGAATAACAAAAAGATCACCAAGTTCTTAGACAGCATCCACTCCAGCCTTCCAGTTGAAAAGGCATCCTTCCCTTCCCTTGAAGAAGATAGGTCTGCATGTTTAACAATTCCAGTTCTTCCAAGGCTTTCTCAAAGCTGTGCCTCCTACAGTTTTAGACACTATATTTTTATCATAGCCACCCCTCCCACAGCATCTTCTAGATCCTTCCTTCCCTTCCTTTCTACCCACTCAATTTTATATCTAAAAAAAAAAAAAAAAAAAAAAAAAAACCAAAACTATCAAGTCCAGTTTGTGCTGTTCACGTATCTGCTCAAGCTAAAGCCACACAAAATTCCAGATGGGAATTAGGTCCCACCCTCAGCTGGCAATTGGTAGCTGTTACAGAGTTTTCTTTTAGAATGTGTCCCCTTGTAGGTCAACCACACTCTAAGGGATGGGTATACATTTGCCTCATTTTTCTGAGGCTGGATCTGTCATTAAACCTGGAGCTCACTGATTTGGCAGGGGTGGCTGGCCAGTAAGTCCCAGGGGTCTGCTCCTTTACCTCTCAGGAGCTGGGGTTGCAGCAGATGTAGCTATGTCTTTTATGTGGATGTTGGGGTTCTGAATTCTGGTCCTTTGGCATATGCAGCAAGCACTTTGCTCTTGAGCCATCTGCATAGCCCTTGATTGCAAGGAACCTTAAAGAGTTTGTCACTGTCGTTTCATGGCTGCCTGGCCCTTCCTGTTTTTCCTTGCCCGAGCCTTGGTGGTGTTTCCTCTTGCTGTCATCATCAGCCTTGAAGTGCAACAAGCAGCTCAGTTCTTGGGAGCCTTTCCTATCATCACAGAAATTGCTGCATCTCACATTTACATTTTCACTTGGAAGTGGAAACACTATTCTTTGTTCTCATTCTTTACACCTCCTATTCCATCTTGGACTTGTTATTCATGTACTGTGTTGTTGTCCCATCCAAATAGCATAGCTTTTTTTTTTGTGGCTGGGTGAACTCAGTGCTTCATTCATCCTCAGGCACAGCCAGTGTTGTCTGAACTCTAGGAGGAAGGCCACATACTCACCTCAGATTGAGACCAGGGCCTTTGGTACATGTGCTTGGAAAAAGAGGGGTGGGAAGGTTGGAGATATACATTTTAGTGATTTTTCCATCCTTGTCCTTTCTAATCCTTCATATAGATGTTTCCTTGGTTGAAACTAGGTTATTTCCTCTTTTTCTGTAGGTCATGATGATTGGGGAATAAGTCCCACCAGTATATTGGCCTGGCAAGATTAAGTCTATCTTTGCACATGTTTTCATTCTTCATAAAACGCTTTCGTACTTCTTTACTAGAATTTAGTAATTCATTTCAGTCATATATTCTTTGCAAGTATATTGACTATGACAGACTATTGATATTTAATTATTTATTGTATTTCTTTTGGAAAAATCCTAGTTAGCCTGTCTGAAAACCCATTTGTTCTTACTTCAGAATTGTAATTTCTTTGAAAAGTACAATAGTAGGATTTTAAAAATTGGATTCTGCTCAAGCTATAAAGTACACTGCAGCATAAAGATTGATAAAAATTACAAATAATGAAATGTAGCTCTTCTTATTTTGTAGCCTTCCTTGAATCCTGGAGGAAGCCAGTCCTCAGATGTGGTACTTTTGAACCACTGGAAAGTAAGGAATTTTGAAGTACAGCGTGGTGACATTGTGTCATTGGTGTAAGTAATTCAGAATCTTACTGTTTGTATTTTTATTTATCTGGATTTAACTGATAATTTACTGCTGTTACTATTTGGCCAATTATGAAATGAATGAGTACATCTTAAATATAATTAATATTGACATATAGCAAAAAGTTTTTTAAACTTAATATATATTGATTGAATGACATTATTTGTAAGTTTTGTTTAATGAAATACTGAGTAGAAATTATTGTATTATTGATCCAAAATACATGCTTTTGATATTATTTTGTAATATTGTACAATTTTGCATCTTGGTCAGCAAACTTTAGTGCTTGTTTTACTACTTTTGAAAAGAAAATATTCTTAGGAGATGATAACTATGATAATTATGGCATTTGTGTATGTGGGAAAAAAGTTTGAGAAATCAGGTTTATGGGCTTTTGTTTGCATCAAAAGATGGCGCTGTTTCTCTGTAAAATATTGTGACTGGATGGGAATTAAAAATTGTATCCCAGGTGTTGGTTGGAGAAAAGGACACGGTGACATGGTGGATACTCCTGCATGTGCTTGAGTGCTTTAGATTCTAAATTTTTGTTTGTTTTAAGAAAGAAATCCATAGAGTACAGACTGCAGCCAAACTTCCTTCATTTATTCGGGCTGCAGCTGTTGTAGTATGATGCGGTAAGGTGGAAGTCAGTGTGTGGAGCCACAGTTGATGTAGTGGATTAATTGTTGCTTTTTTTGCATGGCAGTAAAATCTTCTATTGAGATAGAAACTTACTATTTCCCAGGCATTACTTTTCCATGAGCTGCAATGGTTTTTTTTTTTTTTTCTTGTTGGATGATAATTTTAATAGGTAAAATAATACAGCATTAACTTGCTCCATGCTGATTGTTTTGCTGCTGGATATAGATATTCTGTAAGTGTGTTTTCTTTAAGGCTTACAGGATGCATTTGAAACCATGTTAGCTACATCTGTTAATAGGTAATGAAATGTATTTGAGTAGAATTTGATGGCAGATAGCCAATGATGGGTTTGAAGTCCTTCTGAGGGTTTGAGTATTTCTTTAATGTTAAATGTTAATTTACTCTTCGGAGCATACTCTTACTTTGTCATTCTGAGCACTGATTTTGCTACCTCCTGATAAGCCTCTCCATGTGGAATAAGCCTATCATGTGTACATTGTTCTTTTACCTTTGGTCTGACAAGTTTACATCCTCACTTAGTTCTTGACGAAGAGGATACTCACCCAAGAGAAAGAAGTCATGTAACAAGTGGACAGCTGTGCAGCTTTCTCCCTCTAGGAAAACATGCTGGCTATCTCTAAGCAGGCAAATTTGAATAGGTAATTGAAAACTGTGAGATGGCTCCTTGAGATTCAGGGTTGTGAGTTCATAAAATACCCTGACATATCATGATTTATTTCTAAATGAAAACACAGCTCTTTTAGGTAATTGCTATAGTGATTGATATTTATTATACAAATTAATTTAAATGAACATTTATATTCAAATTGGAATTGTTAAATTATAGCTATTGCAATTGAAATACTTTTTTTTTTTTTTACAGGCAGGGTTTCTCTGTGTAATAGCCCTGGCTGTCCTGGAACTCACTTGTAGACCAGGCTGGCCTGAACTCAGAGATCTGCCTGCCTCTGCCTTTCAAGTGCTGGGATTAAAGGCGTGCACCACCACACCCAGCTGGTGAAGGGCATTTTTAGCAGTCAGTTAAGTGCTGTATTTTTGTCATGTAGAGATGACACAACTTCATTTCATAAGCTTTGTCACTAGCAGGCCTCATGTACATAAAACAATGCTTAGTCTTGGGATTATGTTACTGATCAACTGGAACTGGAATTACAGGTGGTTACGAACCTTCGTGTGGGTAGGGAACTGAGCGAGAGTAAGTGTTCTTAATTGCTTAGTTTTGAGACTCTTGCTTTCACTGAATCTGGGGATCTCTGATTCAGTGGTAAGTAGCTGCCTGGCAAGCCTCAGTGACCCTTGTGCCTCCCCGTCTGCAGCACTGTGATTGTAGGCATTGTCACCATGCTCGTCGTGTACGTAGGTACTGGAAGCTGAACTCCAGTCTTCAAGTGTACTCTCTTCCAGCTCCTGGAAAATAATTAGCTATCATTTCATGCTTAAATTGATAGGGTTTATATACCTCAAAAACTAGTGAGAACAACAATTTCTATAGTATAACTTAGATGTAAGATTTCTAATAAATTCAGTACAATGAATGTGAGTTTATGTTTAAAGCCTGAAAAGTAAAGGTAGGCTGAAAGGGCTGAAGTCATTGTGGACTTAATATAGAAGATATTAACCCTTAGAAGCTGAAGTAGAAAAAAGTTGTAAGTTTTATACAACATGTCCCAATAGTGTGTTTGTGTGTGTGTGTGTGTGTGTGTGTGTGTGTGTACAAAGAATAAGGTTAACTCTGTGATAACTGCTTCTCAGAGAAGAGTTGACTGCATGACCTTGACTCTTGAGCTTGCTTGTACTTGGCCTTCTGTTGCTGTTATTAATGAGGAAAACATTAATGTTATGGGAACACAAATCACAAGTGAATAAATGTACCGTCTGCATCAGAATGAAATACTTTCTCTATTTACCATATCTGAGAGCTAATTCACATCACAATGATAAATGACATAGTAGGGCAGATTGCCTTCTGTTGCATCGGGTTTTGCTGAGAGCATGTTGACCAATGCAGTTTCTTAGAGCTTCAAAAGCTGGTCTAAGGAGGGAGCAGGCATGCACTGCATATGCCTCGTTACATCTCTTCATCTTTTTCTGTCTTTTTCTTTTTGAAGAGTTGGTCCTAGTGGAGTTATTGTTTAAGCACATGATTCAGTTATGTTAATTCAAGAGGAATATTTACTCAGTCCCATGAAATGCTAGGCACAGTATCATTTGCTGTCATTAAGTCCTCAGTATTACTGACTGTGTAGGTAGCACTGTACTCTCTTAATGGATTTGCAGTCTAATAGTAGTGCTTAAGGTGGATTTTCTATACCTTGAAATTGACTTTTTATTAACCTGTGTGATGCCCTTACTAAAATAGGCTTAACGTAAGAACCACAGTTTTTTTCAGAAAGAATATATCACCTAGCAAGTCCAATGGGATAGAGATATTCTATAATAAATCTTGACTACTCACATTTAATGTTTAACTGTTTTACTCTGGAATCAGATTAGATGTAAATAGTATAGAGAATTTCTTCTACCTCTCACAATGCACATAAAACCTTACATAATCAAACTAATAGTATATTTATTAAAAGTAGGGAATAACATTGATATAATATCTTTAACTATATATGCCTTATATCATTCACCAGCCTTTTAACTAATAATCTTTTAGGCTTCCCTGGCCAAAGCATCTTGTATTTCATTTTAACTTTCATTTCTCTTTGGTCTTCTGTAGTCTATGACAGTTCTTTGGTGATTTTTATCTTTATGAAATGAACACCTTTGAAGGTTACGGACTAGTTGTTTTTTTTGGAATGATACTCTACTATTACAATTTTCAAAGCTATTCTCCTTTTGAATGGGGATGGGAAGTTGTTGAGGAAGCCATAGCAGTGGTGACAGATGAATGAAATGGAGACTCAGGCAGAGAAGGCAGTGTGGCCAATGAGAAGAGGTTAAGATGAGGAGAACTTATTAGAGGTTCAGTTTTTTAGCTACAAGGTTTCATTTTTTTTTTTTTTATGTTTTGGTCCTACAAGCTTAGATATTGACTAAAAATGGGTCTGTGGCTTCTAGAAATAATCTAAATCTCTAGCTGCTAGGAAACAAGGTGTGGAAGCTGTGCAGTTTGTGGAAAATGCCAAAGAGTGTAGCAGAGGTGGACAGGAAGGAAGAAGGGCCAGATTTCATATTATCTTAGTTAGGGTTTATATTGCTGTGAAGAGACACCATGACCATGGCAACTCTCATAAAGGAAAAAAACATTTAATTTTCGATGTCAAACATTTTCAGAGGTTTAGTCTATTATCATGGAGCAACATGGTGGCATGCAGTCAGACATAGTGCTGGAGAAGGATCTGAGAGTCCAACATCTTAACCTGCAGGCAATAGGAAGTGATCTGAGACACTGGGTGTAGCTTGAGTATGGGAGACCTCATAGTCCACCCCCACAATGACACACTTCCTCCAACAAGGCCATACATACCAATAATGCCACTTCCTATCAGCTTATGGGGACCAAGTATATTCAAACTACCTCACAGATGTTGGTATAAACTACTGGAGTAGAAGGTTGGTGTGAGGGATTTCTCACATGAATCATCTCTGCATTATTCTAGCCATTATGATAAGTGCTTAGATGTTCATTTCATGCTTATAACACTGTCTATAGGGAGTTGCTTATAGCATCATGGATTTCAGAGCAAGCACATGGCAATGAAGAGCAAAGTGAGACTTGACTCTGGGTTTACATGGTGTAGACCTGTATTGTTTGATTTCCAGGTCCACGTAGCATGAAATGTTCGATGGGACTGTTACCATTTGTGTAAATGATAATAATTTGGATATTTTTTTAGCTAAATCAATGCTTTATTCATCCCACTTATTTATTTTTCCTTCTAAATGTAGAGAATTTTAAATTGCCTTTGATATTCATTCTGATATTTATTTGGACAAAGCTAGCTTTAAACCTTTGCCATACAAAGTACTGTTTCCCCTAGATTATGTCTCAGATGACTTTGTATGGTACCCCAAAGTCTGAGGTAGAATCTAGGAAGGTTAGTGCTGTAGCAAAGGCTGGCTCTACAATAGGTAAATCTCAGACATTGGGGAGAATGTTAGGTTTTTCAGGCCCAAAGACAAGCCATATAATTTTAGTATTGGCTGCTTATTATTTTCAGTCATTGACTTAAGCATTCTGTATTCATTTTATTGTATTACTTTGTTTTTCATTGCTGTGAAACAGCTTCAGGGAGGAAGGACTTTATTTGGCTCAAGGTTTGTGAGGATCCATTATGATGGGAAAAGATGGCAGCTAGAACTTGGGGATGAGGCAGTA